ATCCATCTGCCCCAGAGAGTTGCTGGAACTAACTCTGTGCTGACAGCTGTGTATTACTGAAACTTGGAATGTTTCAGGGTTCACCGTGGTGTTCATTTTTTTTAATTTGTTCTTCCGAGGCAAATTTGTTACTTGGTTGAAATTCATAACCCTTGAGGGAAAGGTTACCGGTGGATGAATATGGCGCTTGCTCTTGTACCAGGAGGCATGACAGCTCCCTGCCACGTTGGGAACACTGCAAGCTCCGACGCTGGGACGAGAGACAAACCCCTGCAGCCACCGCGCCTGGACGGGGCCGAGGACCAGTCTGGGCAACTCCATCTGCCCGAGGCTCTCCTTCCATCCATCTCCCTGCTTCCAGGTACCTGGCCGTGAGCATCCATCCCTCTCGCTGCCTTCCCCGGTCTCACTTCCAGGTCTGAGGTCGGTTTCGGGGGGAGGTGTCCGTGCGGGGGGGAAGGTAGGGAGGCGCAGCCTGGCATCGCCGCCGGGTGCCCCGGCGGGGCCAGGAGTGGGGCCCACCGGGATGGAGGAAGGCTGGAGCCACCGCCCCCGGTGGGGCCGGGGCAGAGGCCGGTGTCCCCGCCGCTCGGCCCCTGCCGTGCCCGGAGGCTCGGCCCGGAGAGGCTCCCCCGGCAGAGGTTCGGCCGCCCGGGCGGGCAGCGGCCGCTGGCGGCCGAGGCGCATCGGGCGCAGAAGTGGCTCCGGGATGTTCCCAGACGTGGGAGAGGCGCCCGCGCCTCCTTCCTCCGTCTTTCTTAACCGAGAGGCTCCCCCAGGTGCCAGGCTCGCCCAGCAGTTGCCTTTTGAAGCCTGTGTGACGCCGAGCAGTTACTGGCGCCGGTCGCCAGAAGGATAAAAGTTTCTTTAAAGTTGCAGGAGTTTCACAGAGAGTGGCGGAGGAGCGGTTTGTCCAGGAAGGGGCACAGCTTGTGGCTCAGGAGCCCTCCGCTGTGCGGTTTGGGAGGGGAAGGCACAGCCAAAGATTCTCACTTTGTTTGCCCCAGTCTTTAATGCCTTCTCCCCCCTGCCCTTTCTTCTATGGTTTGTTGTTGTTGTTGTTTTGTTGTTTTGGTTTTTTTTTTACCTCCGCAGTATGCGTGATTGGGGTTGTGACCTAAAGAGACTTCTTTTTTGGTGCCCTATATAGCTACACGGTATGGCCTGGTTCCTCATCGTGTGAAATCTTGTAGCTACCCTGGGTGTGCGCAATGGTGCAGTAAGGGCTTTAACAGGTACTAAAGCAGTGAGACAAAAGGCTGTAGTAGAAAACTGGGCTCGACTGCAGGTGTGGCACATTTTTCACTGCTTTATAAACACTTAATGTAACTTGGTATTTTCTGCTTGCTATGCCAGCCCTTGATTCCCGCATGATTTTAGGAATATCCGTCTGAATTTCTTAGAGCCATGCTCAAATATCTGACTGCGCTGTATTATCTGGCAAACTCTTTATTTTTTGGAATTGTTACTGATGGATTCTTGTTTCCTAATTTTATTCATAAGCACTTGGTCTCTATTCATGCCTGGTAACTCCAGAGTTATATCAGGAGTTGTTATACATGGTGTGTTTGAAATTTAAAGGTAGGCTACTGTTTGTGTGTGTATGCATTGTGTGCACAGGTTTGATGGGAATTTTTCTTTTTTTCTTCCTCTAATTCATTTATTTATTAATCAACCCTCCTTTTTTAACCTGTATAACATAGCAAATGCTTTGCAGTTGATTATCTCTTCTATTTTTTGCAAGTTGTGAAAAGTCTTTAAAAGGTTGGGCTTTGCTTACGTTCTTGACAGAAGATGCTCCTGTCATGCTTTAGGGATAGTACTCCCCAATTTAGTGTTCCCATTGGAACTTCAAACCAGGCTGCTGGTGTTGTCATGTGAGTGAGTTGACATGGCTTTCTCTGCTACGTGTCATAGAGTTTGCTGTGGAGCATCACTTAGCCAGCCCCTGGGAGCTCTCTCCAAGCCCCAAATGCTTCTGCATGGCTGGCAGTAGGGCCACCACTTCTGCACAGAGCAGAAGTCTGGGAAACAGGAGGTTCAGATGGGAGCCTGCACGGGAGGAGAGAGATGAAAGGACCAAGAAAGGGAACAGAACCTGAAAATTCCTGGGGGGTCCTCTGGAAAGGCTCTGACACAGTGCACTGGTTTCACTTCCCTGCTCTTTGCCTGCAGTGCAAGCTGGTGCTGTGAGGCTAAAGGAGAGGCTGGATGGAGCCAGCCTCCTCTAGTGGAGGTTCCTGGACGGATGTTCTGGAGTCCATCTCACCTTGTTATGAATTAGTCTACAAGATGGGGCAGTTGAAGGAAGGGGGAACTGATATAAACACTTATAGACCTACAAGAAGTCATAGAACTGATGACAACTAGAGACCTTGATGATGCTGCCCCTGATGGATGGAAGAGTCAAATTCATGAATAGCAGAGATGAACGCAGAGATCATAGAATCAACCGGGTTGGAAAAGATCTCTGAAATCATCAAGTACAGCCCTTGATCCAACACCACCATGGTTACTAGACCATGGCACTAAGTGCCACATCCAGTCTTATCTTAAAAACCTCCAGGGACAGAGAATCTACCACCTCCTTGGGCAGCCCATTCCAATGTCTGATTATTCTCTCTGTAAAACATTTTTTCCTAATATTCAACCTAAACCTCCCCTGGCACAGCTCAAGAGTGTGCCCTCTTGTCACACTGCTGGTTGCCTTGGAGAAGACACCAACCCCCACCTGGCTACAACCTCCTTTCAGGGAGTTGTAGAGAGTGATGAGGTCTCCCCTGAGCCTTCTCTTCTCCAGGCTAAACAACCCCAGCTCCCTCAGCCTCTGATATTTTCCTGTAACATAGCCCTCTCCCTTTCTTACAGAAAACTTGTGAAGGGTATGGTGGGTATCCTTCTGCAAGTATAACGAGGAACTTCATGTAGTGCCTAATCTGGAGGCTGGGTTACCATGTGGCAGGGAGCTGTGCTGTGTGGTTTTACAGCAAAACCCTTGGGCACAAGACATCACCTTGGAGTGCAGGAGCACAGTCACACCTCTGGCTTTCCCCTTCTGGAATTATATAAGATGCAAAGACATTTGGGTGGGGAGACTTCAGGCAAACCTGCCCCCTGCAGTGATTCCTCTCCTAATCCAGGTGGTGGGTTCGGTTTGCTTGTGGGCTGGGGCAAAGTGGTGGCATCTGCAGGTGTCTCCACACTGCCCTCTTGGTGGGGAAGGATCTGTTGTTGCTTGTGACTCCCCTGTGCCAGAGATGTGGATTCCCCATGGAGACAAGGGCAGGCAAGCAGGAGCCGAAGGTCCCATGGAGAGAAGTCCATCTGCTCTTGCTCCAGGGGATGCCAGAGTATCCTGGGAAAGAGGAGCATGTGGCACTGGGACCCTGAGGCAGTTGCCACAAGGTGGCACTGGCCTCTTGTCACCCAGCCTGGTGGCATCCAGCCGGCAGCTCCAGGGTGGGAGAACCCCTACCACAGGCTCTGGTCCAAATTTCACTGCAGGGATGGACAGGAGGAGCTGCCAATGGATCAGAAATCAGGTGGATAGTGATCACTGCAGAAGCTATGTCTTGCAGGAAGGATTTTCCCATTTAGAGTCTGCTGGATTAGGGAAAAGCATTCTTATGATATGCCACCCTTTCTCAGGGTTTTTCCCCTTAGGTCATAGCAGAAGAAGAGACTCCAGGCTCACCAGATTCATCCCTCTCTCCCAGAAGTGGGAAAAGCAAAAAGACCAGATCACCAGGGGGGATTTGGGGTGCCACACTCACCATCCAGCACCCATCCCATCCCAGGGCCCCACATCTTGCCCCTGGCATACGAGGCTGCTCCATGGCTTTTCTCATCGGAGAAGGACAAACATCACAGAGGTGGAAGAAACCCAAGAGTGGATTGTGTGTCTCTGTCCCCACCTGGCCCAGTTCCCCTGATTTATTTGCAGATAGGTTTATTTTCCTTTCCCAGCACTACAACTGAAAGACAAACACAATAAAGCTTCTCCAGCTACTTCCTGCTTGGGCCAGGTGCCGGAGGACAGTGGTTGCACCTGGACCCCAGAAAGCTCTGCTGGCTCAGGAATACCAGCGGGATCAGCCCCAAAGCAAGCTCCTCAAAACCCCTGCTTCAGGTTTTGTGCCCAAGCAGAGGGCATGGAAAATCAGGAATTAGTCACTGAGCTGCTGCCATATCAGTGCCTCTGGTGCCAAGGTTTCCAGCCCTTCCCCAAACATGCTCACATCTACTATCGTTTTTCGGTTTAGGGTTTGGCGCCACTGTTTGGGCTCAGGATTGCAGCCGTGTTTAACCTTGGAATGCCGGCAGAAAGGCCCCTGTGGGCCAGCTAATCTAGCTGCAATTAAAGACATTCATTATGCCATTACGAACAGGTTAAGACCTGTGGGAGACTGGGTCACCGGTGCTGCCCCACAGCCTGTTTTGAAGGACAGGGACATTCACTGTCCTGGACACCGGCCACTCCACAGGCCAGAGCCAAACCCAGCCAGCTTAATAGCAGAGTCAAAGCCAAGGAGCCAAGCAGGACCCAAGAACATCCCTTTCCCGTCCATCACTGCGCCCTGACCCTGTGGAAAACACATTTGGGACCTGCAGTACAAAAGGCCAAAGCTACAGCTGACAGCAGGAAGGAAGCAGGAAAAACTCCAGCATCACCGTCCGGAGCTCGGAGAGACCTTTGGAGATGCATGGAGCCACATGACTCCAGCCAGGCTCGGGCCATGCTCACAGTGTGCCCATGGCTCCAGCAACACTCTCCAGACAGCAGCAGAGACAAAGCAGCTCCTTGGGTAGTAGGGCTTGCTCTATCCTGAAGGAACTTTCCCATCATAGGGGCTGTGATGCCACCCAGGGATTGCCCTTGAATCCACCTTGGTAGCACACAGGGAGCAAGCCTAGCCATTCCAGCATCCCCCAGGCCCTGGTATGGAGTGGTGCCCCATGGACTGCCCCCAGTCAGAGAAGAAGCAAACACAACCACCCTGGAACCCGCCACCTCCTTTAATTCCCTACCAGAAAAGCAGGGCCTAGACCAGCTCAAAAATTACAAGGTTGCAGCACCAGAAAAGCCCGTGTCACACAGCTGGTAGGAGCCCATGGAGGTCAATGCTGGTTGATCCAGTAGGCATCAGAAAATGGGAAATTTTTCTCCCGGAAGATCCCTGCCAGCCTCAGCAGGTGGGAAAGGAGCTGCCTTTACCATCCCTGTCCCCATGGGGCTCAGTCAAGGTGGGTCTGCAGGACCAGGACATGCCTGTGGCTTGCATTCTGCCAGCTCCTGCCAGCCAGGAGCTGTATCCTGGTGAAGATATCCTGGTGCTGCTCACACCAGGGCTGAGCATCTCCACAGTGGGGGTTCCCAGGAGATTTGGGGCTGGCAACACTGCCACATCTCACAGACAGTGGGATGTGCAGAGCAACCTGACCCCAAACCCACTGGCTCTGTGGGGACAAGGCGTTAGGGCCAGGCTCAGATCATGGAGACCCTGTTCTTGATGTAGACGTGGTATGGGTCACTGCGCTTGTCCACCTTCCGGGAGCGGGTGTAGCCCAGGATGAGGCTGCCCACCGTGACAGCGAAGAGCGTCATGACGAAGAGGATGTACATGTAGGCGTTGTCGTTCCGGCCGGGATGGCCAAGGCTGGTGTTCTGTGTAGCAGCAGCAGTGGTGGCAGAATGGTCAGCGGGGCAGAGGATGACCCCGTGCAGTGTCTGGTTTAAGGCGTTAAGCATAGCCTGCAGGCTTTGGTGCCAGGTCTCTGTCTGGTTGTTCTCTTCCATGTCCTTCTCTAGGCTGCAGGAAAGGACAGGGAGACTCATAACAGGCTGCCCTCGTGGTGGGGCAGCTCCCAGGATGTCCTGCTGGATGAGACAATGACCCCAAAAATGATCCCTGAAGCACCTCCTGTGCAACAAAAACCCTTTGCATTCCTGGCAGCCCCTCTTTAAATTTCACTCCTTCTTCAGAGGGAATAAAGCTCCCAGGGCTCTGAGGCAGCTGCCTGACCCCCTCTCGTGTGTCCTGTGAGGACAATAGGACAAAGCTGATTCAGGTGGCCAGGACCGTTGGGTTCAAAGTCTGCTTTCCCTGGGAATGTGTGGGGATGGAAGGCACATATCCTGTACCCTTACAGGGTGCAGAGCTGGCACAGCTCCCCACACACCCCTGTAGATACATATCGAGGGGTCGCTGCCCTAAACCTCCCTTCCTAGGGGTCCCAGACCCCCTCTGACCCACCTCCCTTTTGGACATTGTGTCCCTCTGCCAGCACCCCCTGGACCTCCATATGCCCCCTCTGTGCCCTTGTGCACCTTCCCTTGCCTGGGCCAGGAAGGGACACCAGAACACAGTCCCCCACGTGTGCTGTCCTTTGGGACATGCTGGCCCTACAAACCACTGTCGCCCCCCCAGGTATCCACCCTTTTCCCTCCTGCTCCCAAGCACCAGCAGCTCTACCCCATGCACAGGCAGCTGATCCCCCCAAAAAAGGTCACCCCAAACTCAGCGTGCACCTCTCAGGATGAGACCCCAGTAGCGAAGAGGAGGCGGAAGGGGCTGAGCAGCCACGATGGGCTCAGATCCGGCTGCCTTCCTGACTTAGAGAAAAGTTTGAAGCAGGAGGAGGCTGAACTTGAAAGATTTAGGGCAAGACCTGCAGTAGGATACCTGCAGATGGGATGCAGCATGGGGGGACCCACCTTAGGGAAGGTGTGGGGCCAGGAAGGGGAACGGGGGCCAGGAAGTGGGAAGGGAAGATCGCACTCACCCGGGGTGCCCTCCCTGCCTGCGCTGCTGCCAGGCTGAGCCAGACTGAGCATCGCGGGCGGTGGGAAGGGATGCGGCCGGGCTGGGAGTGCCGCCAGTCTCCTCCCCTTCCCGGGCAGAGCCACCTGCCACAGCCACCCAGCCCCGCCACGGGCCACCAGCCTGTCCCCAACCCCAAGGGTCCTTCTACGTCCCAGCCAGATACTGGGGGCCTTATGGGGCCGGGAGAGCTGGATTCTGCATTTCCCCTCCGGCACACGCTGCCGGTCACGTTTTCCTGTCCCTCCTCATCCGTCTGTCCCCAAGCCCTGACACTGGCACCAAGCCTGCCTGGGCATGTTCTTCCCTGCTCGCCATTCCCTCCCAGAGCTGAGCCTGCTCCATGAAATGGGATTTTCCTCTTTTTCCAGCCCCATTGCTCCCAGCTGCACCCTTGGTCCACCCAAAACCCTGAGGGCAGATGCAGAGAAACCCCAAGGCTTGTGAGGAAGAAAGAAGGCCCACAGCAGTGGTGAGGGGCTGTGGGTGGGGGTCAGGTCTTGTTGGAGCAGGATGTGGGGACTTTAGTCTCAGGGGGCTTTCTTATCCCTGTCGATTAAAATCAGTTTATGATGCTGTGGTTGGGACAGCAATGTCAGAAGTGCCAACATGGACCCCAACAACATCTCCTCCAGCACAGACCCAGGGGCAGCAGGTCCCCATCACCCAGCCGGGATCCTGCGTGGTCCCACAGGGTCCATGACAGCCATAGTTTCTCTCCTCAGGCACCTTGACCCCTTTCCCTCCTCCTCCTGCTTTTCCCACTACATTCACATCACTCCAGTGGCCTTTTAACCACCATTTACAGCCATTTTCCACTCTCCCTGACCCCAGGGTGAGAATTTCTCTGTGCTCAAGGTGAGAAAAAGGTCATTATTCATAAAGTCTCAAGGTAAATAAACTAGCAAACGATTGGCAGCAAAAGTTCCCAGCAACTCTCTTTATATAAAATCTGCCTCTTTTTACCCATCAGCAAGGGAAGGATGCTCGACCCACCAGTTCCTGTTCCTCTGGTCCAGCTGGTGCATGAGTGTTCACCCAAATTTTGGATTTTTGCGGGGAGAGCAGCAGAAAAAAAAACACAAAAGCACCTATTTGGGTATTTCCCCAGCAAGTGACACAGGGATGGTCTCAGCTGAAGAATGGAGTCCCAGGGGCCTGGGGAGAACAGCCCCAGGGGAGGTTTGGATGTTTAAGCAGCAGCCTAAACCTCTGTGCCACCATCCAGGCAGAGTCTACAGGCAAAGGCACAAGAGCTCTTGTCTCACAACAAAGCCCCAGGTGGCTGCCACGATGTCCATCAGCCATGCCGTGGCTTTGCCAAAACACCAGGCCAAGGCACCACGACAGTCCTAATCCCCTGAAAAGTCCAAGGTGCAGTCAAACACCTCCTGGAAGGAGTCGAGGAAGGGCTCCAGGACATGGTCGACGGTGATGTGCCGCCCCAACTCGTGGCTCAGCGAGGTGACACCTTTCCCCTCCAGCCCGCAGGGGATGATGTGGTCAAACCAGGTGAGGTCAGTGCAGCAGTTCAGTGCCAGCCCATGCGATGTGATGTGGTTGCCACAGTGCACACCTGCAGGGGCCAAAAGCACCCACCCATCAGCACACCTGCAGGGGCCAAAAGCACCCACCCATCAGCACCCATCACCAGGGACGTCCCAGGGTGAGATATTTAGTGACTACACTGCCCAGGTCACTATAAATATCCTCCCCTCTACATTTTGTGCTCCCCAATTCTGCCAGGGAAAACCCCTAACCTAAAGGCTCCCCAATTTTGGAACAGATGGGGTGCATCCCCCAGCACCTCCCATTGCTGGAGTTTCCATGGGCTTGGACACAGGGCTGTGCTGCAAAGGGCGGGTCTGGCCTGCAGGACCCCAAACCCAGGTGGCAAAGCCCAGCTGGGGGTGCTGGGCTGCAGGAAGGAGTGCAGGATGTGGGGCTGTGGAGCAGGACGGGGAAGGGGGCAGGGACCAGGCTGCAGGCACCCAGCCATGGGTGTAAGGGCCTAATAAGTGCAGGGTGCAAGGTGGGGGCGCCTTCCCTGGGCACCTGTTCCAGTGTTCTGCCACCCTCCATGGAAAGAAGGTTTTCCTCATGCTGAGGTGCTGTGTTTCAGTTTATGGTCACTGCCCCTCGTCCTGTCACTGGGCACCACTGAACAGCGCCTGGCACTATCCTCTGACACCCCTTGGAGATATTTGTATGGACTGATGAGATCCCCTCTCAGTCTTGTCTTCTCCAAACTAACCAGGCCCAGATCCCAGAGTCTCTTTGTAAGAGAGATGTTCCAGTCCTTCAGTCATCTTCTTGGCTTCCACTGCACCCTCTCCAGTCGCATGTCTTTCTTGTACTGAGGAGCCCAGAACTGGATACAGATTTTTACTCCCAATATCCCATAACTGGGCACAGAAGGTATTTCTTCCCAATATCCCATCTAACCCTGCCCTCTGGCAGTGAGAAGCCATTCTCCCTTGTCCTGTCACTCCAGGCTCTTGTCCAAAGTCCCTCTCCTGCTCTCTCGAAGCCTCTTCAGGCACTGGAAGGAGCTTTAAGCTATCCCTGGAACATTCTCTTCTCCAGGCTGAACACCCCCATCTCTCAGCTTGTCTGCGGAGCAGAGGTGCACACGTGCACACCCGCTCCCTGCCCCGTGTCCCCGCTCACCGATGGCACACAACTTGCTGTCGCCCATCCAGACTCCGGTGAAGGGCGGCGGGAGGGCGCGGGCGGCTCCCAGGCCGAGCCGGCGGCAGAGCCGCAGCACCAGCGCCTCCAGCCCGGCCACGTACCCGCGGAGCGGGAGGCGGCGGCGGCGCAGGTCGAGCACGGGGAAGGCGAGGAGCTGCCCGGGGCCGTGGAACGTGATGTGGCCGCCGCGCCGCGCCGCCACCAGCCCCGCGCCCGTCCCCCGCAGCGCCGCCGCCGCCGCCGCGTCCGGCGCGCCCCGCAAGCCCCACGTGTACACGGGGTGCGCCGGCTCGCTCAGCACCACGCTCTCCGCGGGCACCGCGCCGCCACCGGGCAGCGCAGCCGGGCCCCGCACCGCGCCCTCCGCGGGCACCGCGCTGTCACCGCGCAAGGGAGCGGGGCCGCCCCGCCCCGCCCGGGCCCCAGCGGCGGCGGCCGGGCCCCGCGCCGCCCGCGCCGCCGCCACGCAGCGCTCCTGCACCCGCAGCGCCTCCGCGTACGGCACCGGCCCCAGCAGCAGCACCCGCACCGGGGCCCCGGACATGGCGACATAGGGACCGGCCCCCGCAGCCGCCGGGGCCGCCGGGAGCCGCCGGGCGGGGCGAGCGGACGGGAAGGAGAGGAAGGAGGGAGAGGAAGGAGGGAGGGAGAGAGGAAGGAGGGTGAGGAGGGGATGGGGGCATGGGCAGGGGGACAGGGACGGGCAGGCGGATGGGGACAGGCAGCGGGATGGGAACAGGAGGCGGGGTTGGGAGAAGAGGCGGGGATAGGACAGGAGTGTAGGCACAGGGACAGGCAAAGGGAGAGGCAGTGGGGATGGGGATGGGGGGTGGGGAACAGGAACAGGGATGGGAGAACAGGGCAGAGGAGACAGATGGATGGGGATAGGGGGTGGGGGATGGGGAAAGGATGGAGGACGGGAGTGCGGGGAGAGGGGACAGACATAGGAGACGGAGCAGAGATGGAGGATGAGAGAGTGGACAGGAAGGTGGAGGATGGTGGTTTGGGGTTGGAGAGTGAAACAGGGCCTGGGGACATGGGTCATGGTCTGAGAGAGGGTAGTGGGGGCCTGCAGTGGGGTATAGAAGACAGGGGAGAGAAGGCTGGGGACAGGGAGCTCGTGCCCAGGGACAGGGGTTAGAGATAGAGGACAGGGCCTGGGGAGGGGGGATAAGGCACAGGGTGAAGTTCAGGGGCCTGGGGGTGTCTGATAGGGCCCAGGGCTGCAGGAGGGCCACGGGGAGGAGAGAGGGCCCCTGTCACCATGGGGTGTGGGACATAGGGCATTAGGGTGGGGGATGGGGTGAGGGGGGCACAGCACAGCAGTGACAGGCAGGGAGTGATGGCAGGGCATAGGGACACGGTGTCCTGTTGGGGCTGGGCAATCACAGACCTGCTCAAAGTGGGATAAAATTAGGATTCGGGGCTAAAATCAGGATAGTTGTGGATGCCCCAACCCTGGCAGTGTTCAAGGTCAGGCTGGATTGAGCAACCAGGACTAGCGGAAGGTGTCCCTGCCTAAGGCAGGGGGGTGGGACTAGATCTTTATGGTCCCTTCCAGCCTTTAATATTCCATGATTCTGGGGTTGCACCTCAAGGTCATGGACTGTAAATGAAGTCCTTGTATTGCCAAGGTGCTGGTGTGAGATGCGTTTGGTCACCTGGGGACTGGGAAAAAGATAAAATGTTCTCGTCTAAGGTTTTTATTCCAGATGTAGAAAATACTCAAATCTGGTCGAACCGCTAATGAGTCAACCATTAAACCCTGAGCAAACTGTTCCCAGCCTGCAAAACTTCCACCTTATCAATGAGATTAAGCGTGTGAAAGTATGTTTTGATTTTATAGAGCAATCGACTGTGTTAATAAACTCTTGTTTTTATCAAAAAACTCGGCTGGTAATCTGCCCTTTGTCACCGTAGGTCTGTTGTCTGACAAGGTTAATTTCTCTGTTGCTGGCAAGGAAGGAAAAGTGTTCCCTGTGTGCAGTCATTTTCTTGATGAAAAGGGGGAAAAAATTGGGGGAAAAAGACAGCATAAACCTCACCAGGTGGTCATGTCAATGCATGGAGCAGCACCCACTTTGGGAATCGTACCCAGGGTAGGATCATCACCTCAAACAACCTCAGGAGAGCTGCTCTGGGTCTCTGCCCTTGGCAGGAGAGACTCATATTTTGCACCAACATTGTGTGTGTAGCGGGTTATTTCCTTTTTTTTATGATTAAGCCTCAACTTTTTGCCT